CTGATCAACATAGCCTCACTTACCTTAAATCATCCAATAGGTGGCCTACACCTCTGTTCGTAAAGAGCCTCAAATGGAGACATCTGAATGCTGGAGTGGTACCTATTATTGTAGGAAAACTCAATGAGAGAAAATTGATCATCCCAACTATCCTTGAAATCAATCACACACGCTCTCAACATATGCCCTTCTACAATAACTTCCAAAACTGACAAGTGAACTGAGTACCCCTATTTGAGATGATGGACAAAAGAACTCCATGCAATTGAACCAACTCCTTAATGTACAGCATAATCCTCAACTAAATTAGTAAATTTGACTGGTAAGAAATGGGCTGATTTGGTCAACATGTCCACAATTACCCATATAGAGTCATACTATTAATGTGTACGAGGAAATCCTATAATGAAGTTCATATTTATCTCTTCCCACTTACAAGTATGAATGCTAATGTCCTGAAGCATGCCTCCAGGTCTATGATGCTCAACCTTCACCTGTTGGCATTTCGAACACTTAGCCACAAACTCCACTATGTCCTTCTTCAAGCCATTCCACCAATAGACTTCTCGTAGGTCACGATATATCTTGGTGGCACCTGGATGGATAGAGTATCGTGATCCATGGCTTCATTCAACATCTACTCTCTCACGTCATCTACAGTGAGCATACATAATCAGCCATAATATCGGAGTACACCATCTTCCCCTTGGGAGAAAACCTCCACTTTCTGATTTTGAACTACTTCCTTCTGCTTCACTAGGATAGGATCCTCACCTTGCCTAGCTTTGTCTTCCGTCACCAATGTAGATTCCAACCCATTATGAATAATAACACCACCATCTATCGAATCTGTAAGGAGAACCCCTAAATGAGAAAGCATATGGATATCCTCCACCAACTTATTCTTCTCATTCTCGAGATGGGACACTCTCCATGGACAGCCTATTAAGTGCATCCGTCACTATATTGGCCTTGCCCGAATGATAAAGGATGCTCATGTGATAGTCCTTAAGAAGCTCTAGCCATTTCCATTGCCGCAAATTCAAGTCCTTCTGAGTGAATACATACTGAAGGCTCTTGTGGTCTGTGAACACATCAGCATGCACCCCATACAACAAATAATGCCTCCAAATATTTAAAGCAAACACCACAGCCACCAACTCTAGGTCATGCATCGGATAATTCTTCTCATGAGTCATACTCTGTCTAGAGGCATACACAATGAACTTTCCATGCACATCAACACACAACCAAGACCAAACCTAGAAGCATCACAATACACAACAAAACTATCTTTTCCCTCTAGAGGGTCAACACTGGGGCTGAATTGAGTCGAGTCTTTAAATCACTAACCAGCTCCTAATATATGTCGGACTGACAAGTCTAGGCCAATTCTTCACCGCTTCTACCTTTTGAGAATCCACCTGCACACAATCACTAGACATTACATGACCCAAAAATTCTACTGAGTTTAGCCAAAACTCACACTTGCTGAATTTAACAAATAGCTGGCGATCCTTGAGATTCTGCAACACAATCCTCAAATAAGCGACATGCTCCTCCTCACTATGAGAGTATATAAGAATATCATCTATGAAGACAATCACGAACATGTCAATATACTGCTTGAACACCCTGTTCATCAAATCAATAACATTTTCAGGAGCATTCATTAGTCCAAAAGACATAACTATGAACTCATAATAACCATACTGAGTCTTGAAGGCTATCTTCGGAATGTCACTCTCCCTAACTCTGAGCTGGTGCTAACTGGACCTAAGTTCTATCTTAGAAAAGCACTTGGCACCCTGAAACTGGTCAAATAGGTCATCAATCATGAGGAGGGGATACTTATTTTTGATTGTGACCTTTTTCAACTGCCGGTAGTTGATGCACATCCTAAGGAAACCGTTCTTATTCCGGACAAAGAGAATTGGAGCACTCCATAGGGATTTGTTAGGTCTGATGAAACCCTTATCTAGGAGATCCTTCAACTGCTCTTCCAACTCCTTTTGCTAAGGTGGAGCCATTATGTAAGGAGGAATGGATATAGGCTACATATCAGGGAGAAGGTCAATACCAAATTCAATCTCCCATTCAGGAGGGAATCCTGGTAGATTATTTGGAGACACCTCTAGATACTCGTATACAATAGGAACTGACTAAAGAGTTGGGGTCTCGGATGTAGCATACTTGACCTAAACTAGATGGTACACACAATCCTTAGAGATCATCTTCTTAGCCTTGAGATAGAAAACAAAGCGACCTACAGGCACAGTTGAACTACCCCTCCACTCTAAGATTGGTTCATCCAGAAACCAGAACTCTACCGTATGGGTTCTACAATTGATTGAGGCATAACAAGCATGTAACCAATCTATACCAAAAATAACATCGAAATCGGTCATATCTAACTCCACTAGGTCGACTGAGGTGACCTTCTGAAGAATAGTCAGGAGGCAATTTCTATACACCCGTCAAGCTAAAGCCAACTCACCAACAGGAGTACAGACTAGAAAGGGTCCTAACATGATTTCAGGATTGACTCTGAAACTAGCAGCAACATAAGGGGTCACGAAAGATAAAGTGTCCCCTGGATCTAACAAGGCATACACATCAAGTTGGATACTCGTAACATACCTGTAACCACATTAGGAGAGACCCCCTGCTCTTGACGAGATGATAGTGCACAGAACTTGTTCTGGCATGGACCTCTACCTGCACTAGAAGATGCGCCCTACTAAAATGGGTGAGGTATTGAAGCTTCTGAAGTGGTAGTTGGGGTACGACCTCTACTGTCACCCAATCTAGCTAAAGGACAATCTCTGAGCATATATTTTGGCTTCCCACACCCTAACCAACCATCAGTACCAACCAAGCATTCTCCAAGGTGCTTCTTGCCACACTTTCTTCAAACCGAAAATGTGTGCTCCTCTGACATGCTCCTCTATCCCCTGGAGCCTGACACCCTGCATCTCTAATCTCCTCGAGGTCTGGATGGAATGTTGGCTGATGAGGGAGCTGGTCCTGACAACCTCTGGTGGAACTGAGGGCGGTGTCGACCAATGGATCTCTGCTGAAAGTGCTCATGACTCCTTGTCCTAGCCCTTTTGGCCTATCTCTCCTTCTCCTTCATCTGCTCTGCCTCTATCTGCTAGGCATATATGATTAGTCAGGAGAAATCTATATCATTGATCAACATGGTGGTCCTGCACTTCTTGTCACAATCTGAATATATGCCCAAATCGAGACACAGAACCTAGAACCATAAATGGCCTCAAGTCAACCCATGGCATGAACATGACAACTAAAGATAATTATAACAAAGATGATAACTAAAATCTGAAATAGAAGAAATCTGAATAACAAACGTTTATCCAACAAAAACATCACAACACAAAATTTAGAGCTGAATATACAACTCTATGTTTAAAAAGCCTCTAACATACTGACGAGCTGATGGGAAAACACCCCAACTAGTCCACTAGAAATTTTAAACTAAAATCACATAGCTCAACTAACTGAATGTCATAGAAGGATGAGGATTCACCAACTAGAGAAAACTGGATAAGCTCGGGAGACTGGCTAACGGCGAGACTAATTCTAAACATGTATCATGAAATGATATAGCATAGAGTATGCAGTCAGTACTTGGAATATACTGAGTATATAAGGTAAGTAAAACAGGCTAAGTAGATATAAGCTAAAATCATGCATAACATAAACCATATCCCTATAAGATTATGAAAGTATGGACTGCATGCTGATATTTGAAAACATGATTAGACATAAACTGAATCTCATAACTGAATTGGATGACCCAAAGATGAAACTGATATTCATAAGTATGATTGATAAACTGATCATTGGGTAAAACTTGTTGAAAACATAATATCATAACTGATGAACATGCATAACTAAAATCATAAGGAACAATGGGAGACAAGCTATATAAACGACATTATCACGATAGAGCTTACGTTATCCCAACTATTACATTCAAGCAGGCATAGCCATCCAAAGCCTTTCCAGAGCTAAGGGCGCTACCATAATATCGATATCAAGTTGAAGGCCCGTTCAGGGTAGGGGAAGCTCACAAGGGAGGTCTCAAAGTAACTGAATGATACATTGGCACGTAGTGCTGAGACTCAGGGTTTTCCTGAACCCCTAGCCTACTCGGTGCTAGAATTTGCTCCCAAAATATGCAAATTCTCTCCATCATTTTTCAATGAAGTTGAATCCATTGTTTTTCAATGAAGCCAATAATGTAATAACATGCATAGTCTGAAATCTAAATATGGGGAGCCTTGGCTCAAAACATACCACAAGTTAAAAGTGGGAGTATAGACTCCAAAACCATATGATAAGCTAATATTATAAAACTAAACTGAATCATGAAAACATACTTAAATCATGTGGGCTTGACCAAAATTTTAACATACTTGAAATAGACTCGATAGTCAAAACCATGGATTCTTACATGAGTAAATCATGAACATTCTTTCATACTAGATATCTCATTATACTTGAAAACATAGATCATAAACTTAACTTTTCATAAAACTTGCATAATTGGCCATAATTCTTCTAAAATTTAAATCATGAATTTATAATTAATCTGCACATAAAAACTGCCCATGAATCTTTGAACATCATTTGAAACATGAAGGGGATTGACCCTTTGAATTAAACATAGAGAATTTCATAAATTGGATTAAAACCCCATCAAATCTGGATTGGGGTTGGTAGAGAAAAGGACTAAAAATTCTCACCAATCCCAAAACAAGATTGGGATTGGTAGCTCAAAGGACTGAAAATCCATCTAATTCCATTTATTTGCTATATCTGTTTGTTCTGATCAATCTAAATTACTATTATTTCTTATAGTTTGAATTACTATATTTTTGATTTCCAATATGAATCTCGATCTCTATTGAAAGAATCAAATCAATGAAGGAAAAGCGATAGATATAGGCATATGATCGTCGTTGGTCACGCAGGCCTCCATCCTCTAGTGGTTTAGGACATCTCTCTTTCAAGAAGGCAGCGGGAATTCGAATTCCCCTGGGGGTAGGGTACTACCGAAGGAAGTTGATCATGGATTACCAATATGTCATTGCAATTTCTAGATTATTATGTGATAATTTTTTAACTTTCCAAATATAGAAAAGAAATATAAAAAGATAGACTAAAAATGACATCTGTCATGTCAATGACACCAAAGGGATATTAAATTAATGGAATTGAGATATGGATGGAATATAATGAAATAGAGCCACTTTGAGGTTCCATCTGAAATGAGGCATGTAAAGGAGCCACTACGAAGAAGTTTCGGGAGTTACGAAGGAAGCTTTGAGCTCATATGGGTCATGGGTTAGGAATGGGAATTGAACTCTCTGAGATCAAATCTCCTATTTTATGAAGAGATAATTCGTTTATTATTACGATAGGTGTCAAGTGAAAGTGTAGTGATGTATGCAGCTGAGGTATCCTAATAGAATCATACACTTGAATTCATTAAACATGAGATGGGATTTGGCATGAGAGTGAAGGGAACTCTCATTAATGACCCTACATACTTGGGTAAGCTGATTCTACACCCTTCCTTGAAAGCTCAAGAGATTTGGGGAAGAACTAGGAGAATTCTTAGACATGATCTTCAATGGAACCCTCTAGTCTTGCATGCATGGGAGCGAATGATTTAGAATAGGCTAAACCTTCTTAAAACTTTCCTAAAAGAGCTTAAAACAACATAGTTTATGGCTTAGGAGCTTAGCAATAGCGAAAACACCCTTACTAAGTTCACAGGAAAAAATGACTCTGCTAGTCCTCACGAGGGACTTCACGGGTCGTTGGGACCACCCACGACTCATGGTCCACACTCGTTACCACGACTGGAAATTCAGACCTTCAACTCTGCAACCTAACCACGACTCACTTCACGGGTCATGAAGTGAACTTCACAGCTCATGATTGCACCCGTGAAGACCCTCTGTCTACGACTCGTGGGTTGAGCCACTAGATGAGTTGTTGCCCACTGAATGATTCGTCATCCCACTTGTTGTCAAGTCCCCCAAACAATTTCCAACCTCCAATCTTCTGTCTGCGTAACGAGCAATATCACGAATCCTGAAGTGACTTCACGGGTCACTGAACGAGTCATCCTGTGACCTGGTCCAACATTTTCCTTCTTTCTCTACTTAAACCCTTGGGTCTGATCTTAAGATTTTTTGGAGAATTAAAATATCTCCCCCTTGGGATCATTCGTCCTTGAATGTGGGTAAACATACTGAATAACTAGGGAAAGGAACTACCATCCCAAATACTGAGTATCTGAAGCTAAAAACTGACGAAGTGACTAACTTCAGATTGAAATACATTACTGGACTAAATTCACAAATCACACATATAAGCTTTGACATGAAAGAAACTGAGAGACATGAACTAGACATGAAACTAAATAGAGTACTAAGGAGGAAACTAGTACCTCAAGCTGGAAATGAGGCGGAAGGGAAAAGATGCGGGTATTTAGCCATCATATCTGCTTCGGATTCCCAAATAGCTCCCTCAACAAGCTGATTTCTCCACAGAACCTTTAACGAAGCTACTTCTCTGTTCCTCTACTTCCGGACTTGATGATTAAGGATTTTAACTAGAACATCTTCATAGCTAAGGCTATCCTTCACCCTAATGCTCTTTAATTGAACAACCAATGTAGGATCACCAATGCACTTCTTCAATAGCGATACATGGAAATTGGATGCACTGACGCTAACTCCGTGGGCAACTCCAACTCATACGCCACCTTGCCGACACGTCTCAAAATCCTGTATGGGCCAACATATCAGGGACTAAGCTTCCCCTTTCTTTCTGAATCTCATTTCTCCCTTAGGTTATACCCCAAAAGCCCAAAGATTAGACCCAGGAGTTGAAACAGAGAAAAACTGAAATTCTACACTAGATCTCAGGACGGGTCGTTAGGTGACCATGAGGAGGGACCACGAATCGTGGGGTGACTCATGGTCAAGGAAGAGGAATGTGGTCTGGAGGGGTCACCACGGGCATGACCACGAGTCGTCGTTAGGCCACACTAGTCATGGTTTCACCCGTGGCTTGGACTGGAAGTTGGCAAGGGAGTTTTGGACAGTGGGGATCACGGGTGGTGACCACTAGTTGTGGTCAGCCACCACGATTCGTGGGGTCCCTCGTGGGGTCCCCTATTAGAAATTTGGCACTGAACGCGACAGATTGAGGCCATGAGTCGTGGCTATAAGGGACGAGTCGTCCAGTACCTCGTGGGGACTAGCAGACAGCAAAATCCTGCGACTTTAGTAAGGTCTTTTCCGTAATTCTTATGCTCTAAGGGTCCTAAACTACATCATTTTAACCTATGAAAGGTGGGTTTAAGAGGGGAAAACTATCCTAAAGTCTTCATTCATGCATGCAAAGAATAGGAGTGATAGAGAGGTGATCAAGGTGATTTCAAGGCTTTCTACTCCAATTTCCTCTTGGGCATTAAAGGAAGTGTAGGGATTTTCTTAGACCAGGTATTTAGGTTTACGAATGGGTGTTTTCGTTCACACCCATGCCCATCCTCTATTAGTTTATGAAATTCTACCAAAAATCTCATGGGGTTGCAACTCAATTTTTGTGAAAATTTAATTATTTGCTAGTGGGATTTTATGATCTATGATTTTCGTCATATTTTATGGATTTTGATCAGATTCTACAACTATTTTTGATTATAGATTTATTGATTTCAATCTCTACTCAATTAATCCTACTTATGCATGATCTATAATAAACCGATTCACGATCTACACTTCAATCCTTGATATCTACAAGCCCATCATGATCTATGATTTGAAATATGGGTATATTCAAATACCCAACATTATTTGATGATTTACAAGTTATGTGCATGATTTAAAGTATGCATGGGCCTTATGATTTATGAACTATTGATGATGAAAAGCAAGTTTTAAAGTTACCCATGTTTATAAGCATGTTTTCGAATGAATTGAGTATTGTAAAGCATGGTGAAGTATTGGTCAATGCCCACATTATGATGAATGATTTACGTTTTATGAAATGATTCTCATGATTTATCGATTTATGATGTTGGCCGACTAAAGGGTCTTTGATTTTTGGCTAATCATGTTTAATGGGGATCAATGAATGATGAATGTTTATTTTATCCATGAATCTACATGAATGATGTTATTGATTTATGTATGAGCCTATATGCATGTTTTTGGGAGCCGTGTCTAGCACCGAGCAGTCCGACATTCAAAGGACTACACTGGTGTCTCATAACCACGTGCCACTGTGGGAATATAATGATACATTATAGTAAAATTGATCCCCTCTTTTCGTGATATCACATAATGAACGTCCCTCGCCTGGCAAGCCAGGGGCGACTCTGCCCACTTGAGTGAGATACATGGGCATCATGAAAGGCTCTACCATGATGGTGTCGGTTATGACGAGTCCTCCCATTGTTCCGCATGTTTTTATGCACTGTTATGTTCATGATATTGGCTCAAGTGATTATTTGATAAAGTTTCTCTTATGATTATGAAAATGGATGATTTATGATTGATTTGAAAACCTTGAGCCTTATGTTAAGTCACGATATTTCTGATATGAGTATGATGTCCTACTCTCATGATGTTTTTTGAGTTTTCATGTATCTTAAGTGTCCATTTTACTTATCTTGCATACTCGGCACATTCCACGTACTGACCACATACTTTCTATGCTGTATGGTTTTATGATACAGGACATGGCTCTCAAGTTCATCCTCATCTGTAGATCATCTCAGAGTTCACCTTAAGCTTATTGGTGAGTCCTCATGTTCCGAGGGTCGTTTGACAGAAATTTATGTTATTTATGTTTCAGTACTTGGCTAGGTTAGTTGGGGGTGTTCTCCCATCAACCCATCATATGTAGTAGAGGCTTTCAGACAGTATGTAGCACTCAGCTTGCGTGTATGTCTAGTGAAACCCTATGATATGTTATGTTATGATATGTCTACGTTTCCACTATGCCTTAATTTTAGTTTTCCACTTAAAGAGAATGAAGTTAGATGTACGCTTATTCCATGGTTCTACTTGGGGCCTCTCGGGTTCCTTGTCCCGTTTTATGATCCGGATCTACGTTCGGGTCGTGAAAAACTTTGTGACGACCCGAACGTTGACCCGAATCATAACAAACTTGGTCTCAGAGCAATAGGTTTGAAGTATCCTAGGGTGTCTGAAAGCCGCGTTAAGAAGAGTCTTTTTCATGGGTGTGAAGCGCGCCACACTTATGACGAAGAGGCTATGAGACGTTTAGGAAATGTTCCCTTCTTTCATGATCTATGTCGTGCAATGAAAAGTCCTTCTATTCTTCTAATTTGAGCTATTCGTGATTGCAGAATCATGGCTCCTCTAAGAATGAATGGAAGGAGGAATGGAGATGGTGAAGGCCACGAGGATGGCAGTGGTCATGGGCATCAACAAGCCTCACCAGTTTAGGAGCCCCAGGCACCGGAGCAGGCTTCCCATGCTAAGTTTAGGGCTGCTATTCAGATGCTTGCGCAGGACTTGACCACTTATGTCAATCAGTAGGCCGTTGCGCGTGTCCCGTAGAATGGCAATGCAGTGGAGGCTCGAGTTAGTGACTTCTTGAGGATGAACCCATCGGAATTCCTTAGGTCCAAGGTAGATGAGGACCCGCATGAATTTGTAGATGATATTTTCAAGATCACCCAAGTCATGGGGGTGAATGCGGTTGAGTGCGCCGAGTTAGCCTCCTATCAGTTAAAAGGGGTTGTTCATATTTGGTTTCGCCAATGGAAGGATACAAGGGTCACAGGAGCAAGTCCGGTCACTTGGGAAGAGTTCAATGTTGCATTCCTAGATTGGTTCTTCCCTCGTGAGATGAGGGAGCTGAAGACAGCCGAGTTCACTAATTTGAAGCAAGGGAGAATGACTATACAAGAGTATTCCCTTGAGTTCGCACGCCTATCGAAATATACCCCAGAGTTGGTAGCCTATCAGAGGATACGGGTGAGTAGATTCATCCATGGA